TTAAAAGGGGACTTCTCACTGAGATGAAAGACGATGCAACTTTCTTCCACTGGAAATAGAAGAAATCACCTTCAAAAGTTCCAAGAGCTCAGTCTATATCCCACATGGCTCTGGACCCCTAAGCAGGTTAAAATATTAAAAAATGAAGTCAGAGCAAACAGAAGCAAATCAAACTGACCCCCATTTTGGCTGGCTGACCTGTCAATCCAACTCTAAAACTAAGAAAAACGCAATTAACCAAAAGGACTTCATGAAGCTGTAAGTGGGGGTCACAGAGATAAAAGAATTTTTAAAGAGCGCAACAATCCAGAAAGAGCTCATCCAAGTGCTGGGTTTTACAAATGAATAAAATAGAGCTTCGGATGAAAAAAAAAAAACAGAGACTAGCAATGCTGATAGAGGTAAAAAATGCAGAGCTGAGTCTAGAGCCCTGGCCTACAGAGCTGGGCACACCCCACAAGTCCTCCAACATCTTTCTAGCTTCACCACTGAAGACTTCTCCCAAAGACCAGATTTCCAGGAGCCCAGGAGGTTAGAGACTGAAGTCACTCATCACCCCCAAAAAGGATATTTCCTGGAAACAGAAATGGATTCAAAAAGGATTTAGGCAAATCTGTGAATGACAGAGCTGCTATAAATAGCTACCAAGAGAATTCTGAGAATCCTGTATCCACCTGACCTTTAGAACTGACGTCAAGGAAGATGGCTGTAGCCTTTCACAGTGATGTCTTAGGGGGTGGTGTTGGCAACCAAAGACTAGGTCAGATGGAGCTGACCCAAAACTGCACTCTCCATGTTCTTATATGGCCTGCTGTAGAGTGCCCAGGACTGTGAGCTAGAAGGCTAACCTAGTGCCTGGCTCTATCCATTTATAGTGATGTGACCATGGGCACAAATCTTATTTTCCTGATCTCTAAATTGGAACTGATAATGGTCTATAACCAAAACTTCCAGAGAATTTCAGAAACCAGACTTGTTTAGATTTCAGAAAGGCACTCGAGTGCCTGTGTTTCACAGCTCCAGTGTAGTCCAGGACAAGTGTTCTGTAATCAAACACATTAATAGTTTTGCAGCAAAACATATGAATATTCAAAATAAGCACGATAAATATAGCCTCGCGTCAGTTCAGATCAGGTTTTGCCACTAAAGTTTGCTGCAAACTTATACAAAACCTTTCAGCTTTCAGAGCTTTTCAGACTTCATAATCACAGAAGTGAGATTATGACCCTCCGCCTCTTTACGGAAGGGTGTGAGGTTAGGAGAGATAAAGTCATTAAGCATGCTGGGGGTGGGGAAGAAAGCGCTACAGCTGATTTTTTTAAGGCATTATTAATATTGCTGGTGTTGCTATCATTAGTCCACAGTATACGGTATTGTAAGCAGAACTTGGTTTGACATCAGAGGTTCCTAGAAGAATGATGAAAGAGGACCAGGAGTTCCTGAGCATCCTGTAACTTCTCAAAAGTGGCCTAAACCAAGGTGAATGGCTGCTGGCCTTCTGCAGACACAGCAGCCGGCCATCTGAGAGAGACCAAGACCAAGTGCCAGGCAGAACTCTGACGTCTTAGCCCCATGGCTCCTGCACTCTGCAGCCAGCCTGAGAGGCCTCTGGGAGGGTTAGGAGGGGGTCCAGGGAGTTGGCTGAGATTTTTCCTTGTGGTACCTGGACTTTCCTTCCAGAAGCAGAGAAGACCTCCTCCCTTCCTGTGCAAGATGCACCCTGAACTCATCTCAGGGCTGTTCTGTATAGCATACAGAGGCCTCTGTAGAAGATCCACACTCCCCTCTGATTCTACAGCACTAAGTTCAGAAACACCTTAAAACCAGCCTAGGGAGACTGAGGGCTATAAGTGAGGACTATTTTCACACTGAAGAAAACTACACTGCCCCCTGTAATCTTATCCCATAATGCCAAGAATGATAAAGTGCACCTGGCCCAGTGGAGGTGCTCTCTAGGCCACATCCAGACAAGCCCACACGCAGAACTGTTCCAGTCTTTCAGAGAGGAAAGAGAAGGCAGAGGGACCAAGCCTGGAGTGGGAGAGTGTGTCTTATAGAAGCCTGATACAACTCTCCATCCCGCACACTCTCCCCTATAACATGGGTCCCCTGGAGCTGATTTGGGGATCCACCTGCCTAGAGAATGCTGCTGACCCATCAGGTCTTCTCACTCCCTGGCTTCCTTCTGGTTCCATTAGTTAAGTAAACTCTATCTGGTTTACCCAAGTGGTATCTCTGCCTGGTCCTCCCATCCAACCACAGCTACATTTGACACTGTGTTTACATCTTGCCTTCCACTACAGGAACCACAATGCCCAGCTTCACTAAGTTTCATTCCAACTATCTGTTCAGCCAATAGGTGCCCCCTCACCACACCCCAGCTTGAGATCAGGTTATGGGGAGACCTATGGATGGGATTCCATAACCAGCTCCCCTTCCTGCCTCAGTCCTATCTCCCTCTCCAAAGCAAGAATAACTGCTGGGTACCTCATCTGTACCAACACCCTTGCTTGCTGGCTTAAACTACAATAAATCCTGGCCATCACTGCTCTGTTTCCAGACAATTCCACAGCTTCCTGCATCAAAATCTCCCCCTACTTTTTCTGTCTTGCCTTTCTGTTTGTAGTGGTAAAGGTGATGATTTTTCTTCCACCTGAGCATTTCTTGGACAGCTGATAGGTCAGGGGGGTGGGAGAGACAGAGAACAGTAAGAATTGGGAAAGCAGTACATTAATCCTGCAGCTTTGAGTGTGCAGGAGAGGAAAAGGCCTCCCACAAAGCACATCTATCCAGGAGCTAAGGGGTTGCCACACAGAATTGGGTCAACACACACAGGACATCCTTGCCTCCTCCACTTACTCAGGCCCCCACAGCTTCCCACCTAAGGCATTACCACCAGGTCCAGCTCTTTGGCTGCAGTGCAGACTTTACTCCCACCCCCAACACACTGGGCCAAGAAGAGCATGTTCTCCCTGTACGTAGACCACAGATGACACCAGGACAGGGACATTGTCTGCACCACCTCATAAGCAACACAGTAGAAGACAGCAGTGGGGAACACTATCCACTAGAACTCAACAGATGAGGCCAAAACAAGATGGGGGACAGAAGGCTCAGTTCTTTACGTCCATGGTGACATATGTCATTCATAGCTCTAATTTCTGAATTTGGTATCATTAATTTAGCACCAATCCTGTAGACCATCTCATTTTAAAAAGTGAATAAAGCAAACTTCAGAAAGTTTAAATAACAATCACAAACTCTTACCACTAGACACGGCTAATTCCACCACCCAGGCTCACTGGACTATAAACACAGCCAGCCCTCTCTTTCTCCCCAGAAGAACGAGGGTTGCATTGCATGAGAACCCTGAACACTTAGGAGAGTGATATCTTATGTGGCCCTTCTCAGGTAAAGAAAAGCAACCACAACCGGACGAAAGCTAGGAAAAAATAAAATTATTTTCCATCACACCCTACTTCTCCCAGCACTTAGCTGAAATAATTCACGTCCGGAGAAGATGATAGACCTCTCTGGTCAAGTCTGGGGAGGGGATTTCCTCTTTAGGAAAGTTTGAGCCACAACAAATATGTTGTCGGTCTATTTCTGAGAGGTACAAGCACCAAGAAGACACACCTTCATAGTGGTTATTTTTTGCACCCACCAGGAAAAAATAAAAAATTGGCTACTTTTAGCTCGGTGGCACTTTCCAAGAGGTAAGTCTCAGAGCAGCCGATTAGGCAGTCTGGGAGTAGGCTGTGGCTAGGGGAGATTAGATCAGCTTCCAAAGCCTCCGCCCATGCATGTCCCCCTAACTAAATGAGCAACAGAGTAATGGGCGTGAGGAAGAGTGGGTGCAAATGTGGAAAACCCAACCAAGATCAGCAAAACACCAGGGAAATGACAACAGAAAACTAGATTTGTGGACACCATTCATCATTCAGCATAGGAGGGTAAAATGATAGTCTATAGTTTATGACAGAAGCCAGGAAAAGACCAAACCTTCTACTGATTCCCTCTGCCCTTTACTCCACCTCTAATGAGCAATCATCAACCCCGCCGTGTTCTGTAGACATGAGCCTCTTCCACCCTGAATGACGCCAAGTGCCCACCAAGAACAAGGAGGTTAAGTCTAGAGCATGAATCCAGCTCTGCCTCTTACCAGGAAAAGGGACTTTGAGTCTGAGTGTTAGCATCCTCCTATGTAAATGAACATTCCCTATCTCTCAGGGCTGCTGCAACAAAAATGCAGCTCCAGGTATGGACCTCAGTACTGAACCACGCATGTCATAGGCTCAAAAAAGGTTATTTCACAGAGAAGGAAACAGAAGCCAGAGGACAGCTAATGCTAGCCGGAAGCAGCAATTAATTGAGATAGGATAAGAGAGAGACTATACAGGCTGCAAGACCAAGGCTTTCATATTCATCCTTCTCTGTTGAATTGAAATAGACTCCCCCTAAATGTGTCTGCAGAAACGGATGTTTGAACCTACGGCTGGGTTTGGCCCTAAGCAGCCATTAGACTCCTGAGCTGCAGACAGTGACAGGCTGACTCTGCAGGAACCACAAGATGGGGTGAGACTGAGGGACCTGAAGTCTGGTGATACGGCTAGATCCAGGCCATGGGAGACCCTCATCTTGAATCTTACTTCCTTCTCTCTTTCCCTCCACTTTATCAGTCAAAGCAGTGTAGGTCAAACCACAGAAAAACCAAACGGGAGCCCAAATGCAAGAAGAGAAGGAAGGACCTAGTAAGAAGCTAGCCCCATTAGTTACGCAATGTTTTGGATACACCCCCTTTCCCCTCACCACCCTCTGAAACACATGGCCCCCAGGACATCAGAAAAAGGTTGGGGGCTTGGTAGGGGTTGTCTTTCTTTCTTTTTTTTTTTTTTTTTTTGCAAGGAACACAGGTCCCCAGACTTAGGATGGGCCAGGGAGCGAAGGACCGATGTCAAGGCCGGAAAATTGGCACAGGTGCAGGTCTGGGGTGGGCCTACCTGTGCTGCTCCACGGCCTCATTGTCCGGAAGTTCAACCCCACACACGCTGCACTGCTCCCCTAGGGGCCGGCTCTCAGACTTCATGCCTACAGCCAGCTCACCCAGCTTGCTGAACAGCTCCCTCTGGATGAAGCCTTGGGGCAGCAGGCCCCCATAGGTGCTGAAGTCCATGGAGACAGCAAGGGCAGGCTGCACATGGAGACCAGAGGTCACCGAAGACGGCATGCTCAACACAGCGTCAGCCTTGTGGTTGGGCAACACAGAGTAGAGGCCCAGATGTTTCTCCACTGGGGGCCCTGGGGCTTCTGATCGGCCAGGAGGACCCTGGCCAGCCTCAGCTGGGGGAGCCAGCTGCTCAGCACTCTCCTCTCGCCCATAGTGCAGCTCCCTAGCGCTGGTGATGACACTGCTTCGAGTAGGCGTCCCAGGCCCCTCTTTGCCCCTCTCCTCAACCTTGTCCCCCATCCCTCCTGAGATGCTGGATTCAGCTGCCCCAGGGCTGTCCTGGCCAGGTACTTCATCTACCTGCATCATCTCAGTCTTCACCTCAGCCACCCCAGGGTGCCGCCCACCCCCAGCCATCATTGGCTCCTCGAGTCCTGCAGGTGGCTGAAGAGTTCCCTGCAGGAGAGACTGTCCTATGGTCATCAAACTGTCCACTGCAGCCTTAGTGGGACTCATGGCTGAAAGCCCAAATGAGGTGGAGACTGAAGGGCTCTGGTCCACCATGGGCCCAGGGAGGCTCTGTCCAGCCACACTGGCATACCCACTTTCCTCACTGGAATGCTTTGAGATGAAGATGTTCTTAAGGTACCGAGCCTTTCGGTCCTCTTCTTCCTCAGCCCCACCATCGGCCATGGTGGCCTCTGTGTCATTGTCATCTGAGGCCTGGATGGTCTCCAGGATCTTCAGGCACTGTTCTTCCAGGTACTCAATCTCCAGGATCTCAGCGGCATACAGCAGGTCATCCAGGTCCTCCGCCTTGGCTTGCAGCGTGGCTGTGTACGCATACTCCAGAATCTGCTGGAAAGTCTTTGGCGAGAGGAAGTCTAGAGTATAGTGCTGGCTGTTGCGGTGGAAGAGGATCTCAAACATCTTGCTGGTGCAGGCCAGCACTGTCCGGTGGGCGTGGAACTCCTGGCTATCCACCATAATGACCACATCGCACAAAGTCCCGGCCAGTCGCATCTGGTTGGCCTTGCATAGCAGCCCCGTAGGGTGGCTGGGGTTCTGGAGCTGGATCATGCCCATCTTTGTCAGATCCATGGTGCTCGCCTCGGCTCAGGCATGGGGCTCTCTTTCCTTCTGTGCTCTGCGTGATAGGGCAGAGTGGGCTTCCTGGGCCAATGGAGGGGGCTGCAGGAGAGAAGAGGAGAAGAAGGAAAGAGGTGAGAGAACAAATGGCACATTCATTCGTGTCCTTAAAAGAATTCAAACACTACAACACACTCCCACCCCCAACAAACTCCTGGTAATAGGCTCTTACAGATTTAAATGAAGCAGCTTCCTAAAAACCTACAAATCTGCCTTTATACCCATGGCTCACGCCTATAACCCTAGCTACTCAGGAGGCAGAGATCAGGAGGATCGCAATTCAAAGCGAACCCAGGCAAATAGTTTCATGTAACCCTATCTCGAAAAGAACCCATCAGAAAAAAAAAAAAAAAAAAATGGGGCTGGCAGAGTGGCTCAAGGTGAAGGCCCTGAGTTCAAACCTCAGTACTGCAGAAAAAAAAAAAATCTGCCTTCACAGGCTGGGGGATGATGAGAATAAAGAGAAGGTACTGCCACTGCACATACCTATTTCATGGATCTGTGATGTCTGTTATAAAGCAAAATGAAAATTACAGTGAGTTCTGAGCATTCTATAAACTTGAGAGTAGGGAATCCCCATTACAAAGCCAACATTCATTATGAGGAAGTGTTCATAACCTTACTGAAAATTAATAAAAACTTTAACCCCTTCCTTTAGTCAAATGAAACACTCAGCTTAACGCTCAACCCCCTGTACAGCAAGACTCAACAAAACAAAGCTTTTCTACCTCTGCTTTGCTTTGGTGGCCTTAGGAGCCAAGTCAGATCCAACTGACTTGCAGCCTTCTGTGGTGACCCACAGAAATCTGTGAGCAATGGGTTCTCTTCCTCCAGGCCTATCCTCTCTTCATCAGCCAGTGCCTTCCTGGGCCTCTGTCCTTCCATTCTATTGCAAAGGACTGACAGACCTATGCCCCCAACCTCCTCCTTAGGAAGTAACAGGAACACACACACAGAACCTACATGCTAACTTGGGTCACTCCTATCCACAGATATGTGTAATCTTAAGCCGACTCTGTGTATACGGGTGTGCGTGTGCACATGCATGTATGTGCCAGCCAGAGTGTTAACGTGCCTGCACACACTTACATGAAATGCTGAACTTACCCTTCTATCTACAAGTGCACAGTGGACAGAAGGATCTGAAATGTGAAGGAGGATAGGTCATGAAGGCAGGGAGCAGAGCATAGGAAACATGCCCCACTGTAGCCAAGAGTGGTCACACTGGGCTGGGTGTGAACTCCAGTGTGTCCCACAGGCTCCTGGGAGTTGGCAAATCCTGTGACCAGTAGAACCACTGGACACTGGACATGGCTCAGAGGTATTCGGAGTGATACTGGCAACAGCATATATGGAATGACTTACAACCAATATGAGGGGAACACAAGGCTGGGAGACAAAGGCCTCTCCCAAAGCCTGTTCCAGATCAGTGAGGGCTCCAGGACTCTGAACCCCTTTAGGGCATGACAGAAAGACCCAAGGGGCCCAGATTTTTCCCAGACACTGCCTCACTGTGGCCAGGATTGCAGCCAATGACCTGGGAAGAGGGTGGAGAGAGCAAGGGCTCTTCCTCACTCTTCACATGGCTTGCCTCTACCCTCAAAAAAGGTACTGGTTGAGGCACAACGCTCATGCAGAAAGGGTTATCAGGGTGGCTGGTCCGGACACTTTTGCTGCTCACCCAAGGGTGGAAACCCAGGCCTGCAAGGGTGGGTAGACCATTCATCGCGCCTTACCACTGGGCGCTTTCCTGCGGACATCAGAGTTTCTGAGAACTAAAAGGGAGTAGAGAAAAGAATGGAAGGTTGGCTACCCAAATTCTTTCCCTGAAACAAGCCTTTGGGTCCTAGGGGAAATGGGGGTGCCCTAGCAGCCGTCTCTCCCACCCCGCGGCTCAGCGCTCGCGATCCGGCCCGCACTGGCTGCAGCTTTCGGCCTGGCGGCGCTGGGGGAAAAGCCGGCGCTAACCAGCCGAGCTCCGGGACTGATCGCGCTCTCACACACCCCTAATTCCCAGCGACCCCCACCGGGACTTGGAGACGACTTCGGCAAACTTTGGGGAAGCAACTTTTCCCCAGAAGTCAGACGCCTGAAAGGAAAGGAACGGAACTAGGAAGGAAGGAAAGCGAAAGAGACCGGGCAAAAGGCGAGAGAGTCCAGACGGGCTGGACGCCGCTGCGAGGGCGGCGAGGCGGCTGACACGACCCGCAGCAAAGGGGAAGCACAAAAGCCCTGCAGCGAGTTGTGGGAGGAAAGGCGAGAAGGGATCTGCGGGCCCTCCCTCTCCGGCCGGGGGCCGTGACCCCCGGGAAGCGACAGGCAGGGTCTCTGGCCTCCGGCCGGAGGCGCCAGCTGCCGGCGTGCCCTGCCCAGGCAGGCATGTTGCGGGGAGGCGGCGAGCAAGTCGTTGCGGAGCGCGTCTGTGCATTTCAGTCAGTGTGTTCGCAGGCCGGCCGGATCGTGCGTATTCGAAGCGCGTGCGGGAGTGTGCGAGGGGCTTGCAAGCTAGCAGCCGGCGCGCCAGGGTGGGAAAGGCATCCCGCACGCATCAGGTGCAGAGCCCGGGCACCACCGCGCGCGGCCAGGAGCGCACCGCTAGCTCCGGCGCCACGGCTGGTCCCACCGAGAGCCGAGGAGAGCCCGAGCGCTGGAGACTCTTGGATTCTCCCTCCCTCTTTCCCTCCCGCCACCCCGAAAAGGGGATCAAGTCCAATCAAGAAAAAAGAACCCACCACGTTTTTTCAAGCAGAAACAAAACCCAAGCGAGTCCCAGACAGGCTTCCCTCCACCTCCGGATCCACTCGTCAGCTCCTCCGGCTCTAGCTTCCCAGCCGACCAGCGAATAAACACACAAATAAATAAACCACAATCCTATCTCACGCCCGCGCACCGGTCCGCATACATATGAGCACCCACAGGCTCTCGGCGCCTCCGCTGGCCCTTGGCTGTACAAAGCCTCCCAGTCCCCAACCCTCCGATCGCGCCCTCAGCCCCGGCAGACCGCTCTATCCCTCACCTCTCACCCGGACTGTGTCCTGGAGAGGAAAGGTTGGGGAGGCAGCTGCGCCCAAGCTGACAGCCAGGGCTCCCCCTGCTAGCTGACCCCCAATCAGCGCGGGCGACGGCTGCAGCAGCCGGAAGGGAGCACGCACAGCCCAGCGGCCGAGTGGCCGGAGCGAGCGCGCCCCCCCGCTCCCCCCCTCCCCCCGAGACCTCTCCAGCACCCGGGCGCCCTGGCGCGAGGCGCTCACCGGGCGGTGCGCCCTTCCCCGGCCCCCCACTCACCGCTGCCGAGCCGGGCGCTGTGGGGTGGGTGTGCGTGCCTGTTGAGGGGTGTGTGCCTGTGTCGGGGAGGGGTGTTGCTGGGGAACTGTTGCTCTCGGTATCAAGGCGGCAGCGGCGGCATCGCCCGGCAGTTCGCAGTACCCGCTCTCATCACCCTCAACTCCTCTCTGCTGCGAGGTTAGCAAATCACCACCGGCTGCGGCGCCTCCGCCGCGTCCCACGTCAACGCCGAGCCCCCTCCCCTGCGAGGCCCCGGCGCCTCTCCATCTTTAGTGCTGGCGGCCGAGCCCGGCTCCCTGCCCACAGCTGCCCCCCTTCCCTCCCCCCCTCCCGCGCTGTCCCCGGGCTCAGCCCGCCCACCCCACCCCCGCACTGGCCGAGCCCGTGCGCGCTCCCCGCCCCACCCCTCCCTTCCTCTCCTCCACCCTCCCTTCCCCGCGCTCCGCGCTCCGGGCTTCGCCTGACATCTAGCTGCTGCAGGGGCGCCAGCGGCCGCCACTCATCAGCTAGGCGGAGAGAGCAGAAGGGGCGAGTGGACAGGAGTGCAAGGAGCACTGGGGTGAGGAGCGACGATCAGTCTCCGCCTAAACCCCAAGATTTTAGTTTCCACTGGGCATGGGTTTTATCCACACACACACCCCCCCTCAAGTCCGCTGTTCAAGTGCGGAGTTTATCCTTGGTTGCCATGCTTTTCCCAGTTCAGTTTCATCTCCCTTTCCTTGGGGCTGGGCGCTACACCCCCAGTATCCTGGACATCAAGAAGGTCACTTCTGCAGCCCAAACCAAGTCCTCTATGACTCCCAGCTACTGCCTGCCTATGAGAAAGAACAGCGCGGCCGGATTTCGAGATGTCTAAGGCGCAGAGTTCGTCTAGTTCGCACTATGGTGAACCAGACGCCAAAGATTTATGGTTGAGGAGACACCCCGTTTTGCATGTCGCAGGCGCTAGAAGCCGAGGTCAAAGCCTGAGGGAAACTTTTCTCCCTCCCAGTCTTGGGAATCCCTTCCGCTCAGCTCCACCCCCCCACCCCACCCCCCGCCCGAGCAACCTGGATGGAAACAGGAGAACCTGCGCCCTGCTCTACGCAGTCTTGGGTAGGGGGAGCGAGGACGCAGTACAAGGACGCTTGGGAAAGCTCTGGGCCGCTCTAAAGTGCCTGCTCCTCTCAACTAGCTGCTCCACTTTAGAGGGTAGAGCAACCAAAGAAAATTTGCCCTACTGCAGCCTGCCTAAAGTTCCTATCTGCCCCTTCCCTAGAGCTGGGCGAAGGTAGGGGACAAGAAGTAGAAAGCACTCTTAGAAGCACTGGCCTTGGCATGACCAAAGTTCCCAGCATCGGAGCGGGGGGATGTGGTTGAGACCATCCTCCAGGGATCTCAGGTCAGCCCTTCCCCTTCCTCCCCCCCCCCCCCCCACGCAGGTCATGCGGGTCTAGCAATTCCGGGATTCGGTCACTGAGTCGTGAGCCTGCACGTTGTGTCCTTGACTGGCCTATGGGCCAAAGGTTTTCTTTCCACAGAACTCAAATAGAACCATCCTGATGCGTGCCTCTGGCACCAAAAGTCAAGCCCCAAGAGCTATAGGATCAGAAAGAGGGCAGAGGCTGAAAAGAGGTTAAAAAAAATCCAGGGAAGACCAGGAGGCAAAGTTTGCATGTAGAAACTGACCCAGGTCTACAAAAGCTGCTAAGAGGGAGGTCCCAGGGACAGATCACTCCATCTCAACAAGAAACACTCCAGTCTCTTACTAGCAGGAAAAGTGCTCAGACCAGCAGCAGTGTGTTGGAGTTGGGTGTGGGGACACATCTAGAAATGAAAGAAGGAACCAGGTTATCCTCTGATAGCCAACATCAAATTGACAGGCAGAGGGAGTCTGTTCTCAGAGTACCCATTTGGAGAACAAGGAGCACTCCCTATTCTCTTATCTAAGTTCTATGCTCTATGCCCTTTCTTTAAAGGAATTTAAAGAAAGTTAAAAGAACTGGCCTGTAAAGAGGGCAAAAGTGGATGGATGTAAGGAGAGGAAGAAAGACAGTTGATGCCTCACCATTGTAACAGGAATCACTCACTGCACTTGTTGAGCTTGTAACTAGACAAAGCTTGCTAGAGGCGGCTGCCTAGTGTCCACATCCACCTGGCAGCCTCTCCCAGCAATAGCAAAAGCAGCTCACAATTAACCCCTGAGTCTAATCTTCCATTAATCCTGGAATCAGAGAAAGAGAGAATCTTTGGAAACAATGGGAGCGAAAGAACAGTCTCTCCTTGGCCCTGGGCACCCCCACCCCCATACCATATTCACTTTATGTGAAAATCTCCCTTGCTTCATAAACTCTGCCATTAAAAAGCCCAGCCCTTGTTAGTAAGTGTTAAAGAGAGATTAATGCCTGAATTTAAGAGGTGGAGAGGTAACAAAAAGGGAGAAGACTGGCGACGCTGTGGGCTGAGTGCCAGCATTGGGCTCCAAGCATTTCCACTTAGCGCTAAAGACTGGCTGCACAGCAGTTTGATAAGGTTTATTGGGTCCAGATAAAGCAGCAGAAGCTTCTCCACCAAAACTGGCACCATTTACAGCCAGAGCTATGTTCTTGGGTCCTGGGAGGCTAATGAGAATCCCCAGTTTAGAGATTTCATATGGCAGCACCTAAAAACAAGCAGGATGGAAAATTACAGAAAGAAAATCTCTCTCTCTCTCTCTCTCTCTCTCTCTCTCTCTCTCTCTCTCCTCTCCTCTCTCTCCTCTCTCTCTCTCTGTCTCTCACACACACAGACACACACACTTACACACACTCACACACACACACATTCTTTTTCCTTGAAGAATATGGTAAAGGGAACTGGGTCACATCAGCTCTCATGAAAATACAAGCGACTTTGATCTTAGGGGAAGGTCATGCTAGAAATGGGAATAGATGAGCTGACCCTTGGATGGAATTTCACTCCTGAATTTTCTTATTCCCGCCTCTCCTCCCTTGTCCCACATGCCTCCCACCAATGGCAACCTTTCTGAGCTCAGTTAGTGAAAGATCAGAGCAAACCCAGTCTAAGAGATCATCCAGGAAGGAAATGGGGGAATAATAACTTATTCGGAGGACATCCTTCACATTGCCTGTGTTGCTGCGCTTGATCTTTATAATAACCTCAACAACCTGGTGCTATTTTTTTTTTTGCCGTTTCTGTAGACAAGAAAGCTGAAGCTCAGAGAGGTTAAATACCTTAGCCAAGCCTGCAGATCTATTAAACATCAGAGCTGATTCTTTAAATCAGAACTTTCTGATTGCGCAGCTCAAGCTCTTTCCTGCTAAATTATACAGCCCATACTGAAA